GAAAAAGTAGAACTCCCACAGTCTCGTCGTAATGCCACAGAAGTTTGCAGGGAATGCAGAAACGGGCTGTTCTTAACTTTATTTTTTCAGCTGATTGAATTTCACTTTGATAAAGACCTACTAGTGAGAAAAGACGGCTTAAACTAAGTTAGTTAAACAGGCATTTTCTAAAACCCACACAATTCCTGGTTGTGTAGCCTTGAACAAGCCTCTTATGTTTCCTGTGCTGCTATTTCTCATTTGTGTAATGAAAGCAGCTCTTTCTCTCCCTTCCTGCCCCTGCCTTTTATGTTATTTTTGTAAGCAATAACCCTTAACAGGGTTCCTATTTGCTGGCGTTTGCTTATGTTTGCTTTTATGATCGGTGGCAAACCAGCCCCAAACCTTGGCTTGCATCTGCGAACGCCACCATCGTGCAAGAAATCACTGCGGGACTCTCTTCTCAGCGCATTTCCCATCAGCTGACATGCTCCCTTTCAGTCTGGTGTACAAAATGCCTGCTTAGGCAGTTGATATATTTTGACAAAAATAGATTTTTTTGTTTCCATGCTGTCCTGTCTGCGAGCCTGAGTCACAGAGCGGGGCTCACTGAAGGAGCTGCTGCAGCGCGTGGCCTCTGTGCTGGGCGGCTGGTGAGCAAAGCCCGAGCAGGTGGGAAGGAAGCTGTAAGCTGATGGTGGTGGTCTCTGCTCGACTACAGTCACGGAAAAGGGATTTTTTGGAGGGGAATGAAATACCTGAGGGAATTTGGTGCAGCAGCACAGCAGTGTGGTGCCCGTGGCTCAGACTGCCTCAGAGGGCAGCCAGAGCCATCCCTCCTGCTTCCTGCCCTCCGTGCTGGGGAAGGGCCGGGGCGTTGAAGGCGCTGCTGAAGGATGAGGGGAGGGAGCTGTGCCCACCCTGGAGAGCCGCTGGGGTGCCTGGCTGTGCCCATGCCAGGGGCCGCTGCTGCCCCGCCCCCAGGGGCTGCTCCAGGAGGGGCAGCCCGCAGGATGGGCAGGGCCTCGCTGCGTTTGTCCCCAAACCACGGTTGAGAAGAACCAACCTGTCTGAATCCTTAGAGAGCTGTAAAGCCCTGGGGCTCCCAGGACAGCTGCAGTTTGCAGCAGATCTCTGAAGGTATTACTGCCCTGTCTTTCAGTGCTTCAGCAAGATGAAGGCTGTATGTGTGCTCTCGCTTCTGTTCCCTGAGGATTGGTGATTCCTGCGTGGGTGGCACAAACCCGTCCTTGCTTCCTGCAGCAGGGCATGCCATCGCCTTCGCCGTGCGAAAACCTGTCTCTGCCTTTGCAGGAGCTGACTTTGCAGATGAATTTACTGGAGCTGATTCGGAAATTGCAACAGAAGGAATCCGAGTCCGAGAAGGCTTTTTCCTGAACGAGCAAACCTGCCGTTTGCTTCCCAGAGTTCTCTTCTGACGTCCCTCTAAAGAACAGACTGCTGGTGCATTTGCTTTGGGTCGTGTCGGGGAGAGGCTGCCGGCTGTAGGAATAGCTGAGGCCCTTGGATAACCTTGGAGCTGGGGGAATCGGAAATTGCAACAGAAGGAATCCGAGTCCGAGAAGGCTTTTTCCTGAACGAGCAAACCTGCCGTTTGCTTCCCAGAGTTCTCTTCTGACGTCCCTCTAAAGAACAGACTGCTGGTGCATTTGCTTTGGGTCGTGTCGGGGAGAGGCTGCCGGCTGTAGGAATAGCTGAGGCCCTTGGATAACCTTGGAGCTGGGGGAAGCAGAGCCCCGGTGCGGGGGTGGGGGGGTGAGGAGCTCGGGCTGCCTCTGCTGCACGCGTGCCGCACGG